AGGATACATGTCTTCCTGTCCATCCTGCCCTGTAGTGAAACAAGGGCAGAGACATGGCAGTGTCTGAAGAGAGCTCTGACCCCAGTACGCTGAGCACACAGCTCTCGTGTCTCTAGCAAACTTCTTGTCAGCACCATTAACGTCCATGAGACATTAGCATTACACTCGGAACATTGTTCCAAGGAATCTGTTTTTTTCATGCTTCCTTGGAAAGCTAGAGGTAAAATGCAAATTAAAATAACTCACTTGAGATCAAACTAGACTATCTTTTCTCAGCAAGAGGGGATAATTTGCTAGCTTTTCTTCTTGCTGTCAGGAAATTATGTCTATTAATATATAATGAAATAACCCCAGGGAAAGCAGCTTGAATTAATAAATGGGGCTCTGCTAAGTACCAGGGACAAAGAAGAACAGGCCTGGATCACTAATCTTTTTCTTCAGAAAGAAGAAACAGTCTGAGAAGGGCTCTCAGCTTCTCCCTCATGTGAGATGTTCTAACAGCTCCTTCCCTTCAGCCAGCAATGCAGGCAGGAAGCAGCTCCTCCTGGTACTTCAAACTCAGGATTTCTGCTTCATTTGCCTCCTCCTCCCTCGCAGGCAGGAGGCTGGCATGGGCAAAGGGTTTGCCAAGTCCAAGGGCAGAGAGAATAGAACAAAGTACAAGATTGGAGGGAGGCACTGTTTGGTACCAACTCCTTAAACACTTCTGCAAAGTGCTGAAATGGAACAGTTTGCAGCCAGAGGTTTCAACACCTTCTTCTCTTATGTGAAGAGCTGAAAGGAACTCTCTGCAGCAGTGCCACAGTAATTGAAAAAAGGAAGTACAGTAACTTCTCTGGTGGGTATGGGAAGTGGGAAAACACTGTACCTGCCTACCTCAGAAGCAAGTTAATTACTGATCTTCACTTGCCCCTCATTCTGGCCCTAGACCAAAGTGATTGCATCTGCATTTTTTAATTAGTTTTTACTCAGAACAACCAGGAGCTGTTAAGACCTAGGCTTTTTCTTTTTGCTTCAGAAAAGCACAGTGTGCAAAGTTTTCAGGTGTCCTTCCCTTCCAAGCTCCCATTTCTGACCCTCTTCCACAAAAACATCCACATCTGTTCATCTCCAAACTCCATTTGCTGCCTGATAACTCCCCCAGCCAGGAAAGGCATGCAAGGGCATCATCAACATATCCCATTTATCAAGTGAAGAACAGGATAGAAACATTATGTCCTCTCCTCTCTGACCTCCACCTCTTTAAACTCAAAGGCATTAGAACTAATGCATGACAAGACCAAGTACAGAATGTGATTTTCAGATATATGGGGGGTTCAGCTCTACCCACCCAAACAGAGTAACACTCCAAATGACAACCGGACAGTTTGCTTTACTGAAGTTCTAATATCTCAAACCCATGTAATTTTGGGGGAGGGGGGGAAGTGAGGAATTTCACTTCCCAGAAGTCTCCCTGAGGCTGATTACCTCTGGCAGTGGTGGTCACCTGCTGCAGGTCCTACACGTTCATTGTCACAGCTTCTCTTCTGCCGCATGAGTCTCACTGAGAGCACTCAGACAACATCATGTGGCTAGCACATGCCCCCACTAAATGATGATGAGACAATCACACTGCTCTTCCTATCTCACCACCCAGTCACTTCAGAAAACACAGAAGTTACCATGGAGGATCACAAGATTTTACAGTTAAGTGTCAGCACCCCATGATGAACTGGAGAGCTGCTGAACGCCAGTATCACCCTCCAGGCATGTGATCCTCCTTGGGAGTGATTCAGATGGCAGCCAGGAATGGAACCTAAAAATTTTAGGAGAAAAGGACTTACCTGAGATGATGTTATATGCATCTACAGACAGCTAATCTGTAATCAAGCAGCCAGCTGTAACATTAATAAAACATATTTCTACATCCCCTTCTATCACCTCCCAACAAAAGAACATCTTAAAGGGATTGAAAAATCCTCCTTGTTCCTCTGAAAGTAAATGAGTCCTAGAAACACTGGTCCTTCCTCAAGGCTATTTCAGTGAATGTAAATCTTCTGATGGACCTTGGATGATGGTCCTGTTCCTTTACCTGGTATCAAGCTCTTCATTTTGAGAATCCACCAAGTGGCAGGACACAGTAACACCAGACCCAGATCCTGCCAGGCAAGTCTGAATGACAGATTACAGCCTTGCAGAGAGCTCCAGTGACTGTAATACAAAAATTACTCAAAGGTCACCCCAGAGAATGGGTGCCCACCTTCCTTATCTATTATAAAGCCCTTCTAAATGAAACTTTAGGAAATTAATTTTATTTGAAAGGAACTAAAAAGAAAACCCCAATAAAGGAAAAATAAGACAAAGTGCTCTAGGATGATGCTTTTTAATTGTTATTTTATATCTTTAGAAACAAATCAAACCATTAAAAACATTATAATGTGCAGAAATTTCCTGTACAACAAATATGAAAACAACAAAATTTGTACATCATTTCATGATATTCAACAGTCACTTATTTGAAACACATCAACTTTTCCCTTCTTAAGCAGGCCCCAAATGGGAAAAAAAATAGAACAGAAATGCAGGAGATGTAATTGTCACACAGTGGAGCTTTCAGTGGACAGCTTTAGATAAGCAACAGCAACAGAAGACATTGACCAAAGAGACAGATCTCAGCAATTATAACACAAAGAACATCAGAGGGCAGGGAGAAAATAATTTCAGGAATTCAAGTCATCTTGACCAAGACAGATGCACAAGGTAGTGGAGCATTGCCTGTGCTCCTTCTCTTCCTGCAGAGACGTCCTATAAGGCAGATCCTACTTATTCACATCGACATTACACCCAACTTTATCTTTACAACATTTTAAGCCTTACCAACTTTTTCCACCTATCAACATGGGATCAACAGGTCATTTACCTCAAACTTCAGTCTCTTCTCACAATGAGTCAGTTTGGGGAAAACACATGCATACAGTTTTATTTAAAATGGATACTCATTAGATGATGCCACAAGTGAGAATCTGATGTCTGCTTCCAACACCAACATAACGGGACAGATCCAACTATTTTCTGTAAGAGGATCTGGGCAGTGGTCAAGCAAAACCAGTTACTGTTCTAGCTAGTTTTCTGATGTTCTGCTGCAATATTATGAAATCAACATCATCTAGCATGGAAGACTCATCTCCCTCTCCTCTGTGCTATACAAAACAAGGGCCTTCAGGAGCAAGACAGCATTCGCCACCCTAAGGCAGCAAGTTCTTGGGAGACCTGAAATAATGAATACTGGCTCTGTGCTCTGCACAGATGTGCTGTAACTAAAAGAGTAAGAGACTTAAAAAAACCCAAAAAACCACATGACTGTAAGGGGCAGACTTTCCTCCCTCCCAGTTCCTTTGGAATGGTTCTGTTTGGTCCAAGTGGTTTATCTTTGTTTGTCAACTGACAGCAGCTTCGGAAGAATATGGGCCCACTTTGTGGACAGCCAGTTTGGATGGAGCTGGCAGGATCATTAGTTTTTTTGTTTTGTTGTGTTTTTTTTTTTAAAGTATTTCAGAGAAAGAGAGAAAAAAAATATATTCAAGTGGCTGCTAAAAAAAAATATATATATATAACAAATTTAACCAAAATAAACAAAACTCCAAAAACCACCAACCAAAAGCTGAACTGCACTGTGGCCTGTTCTCCAGTTTTGCTCACACAGCACACCACAGTTTCACACCAGGTTGTAAAGAATTCCTCAGGATATTCATAAAGTTACAGTTGTGCACCAGGAATTCCTACATTTTCCTTCAGCGGACATTGGATCCTGTGAGGTTGTCAGGTTCCACTGTAAAGCCACATACACTCTTAGCATCTGCAGTTTTTTCTGACAAGTCTTCTAAAACAAAGAAAAAAACCCCCAAAACAACAAAAAAGCAGCAGAATTCCAGGGACTCTGGTTATTAAACCTTCATAAGATTTTTCATCACTTTATAGCTATTCTATAGCATTATTCATGAACTTCATATTCATCTGCAATGCAACCAGTGCAATGATCCAAAGACCAAAAAACACACCCTCCCCCCACCCCAAGCTACTTAAGTCCTTCATTGGTAATGCCTTCCTAAGTCTAACAGTTATGTACCAGCAAAATAAATCCAATCTGATCCTCGACTTGTGAAATCAACAACTGGAGGATTTCTGCTTGCTTGTTCTGTTTCTAAAAGGACCAGCTAAAACAACAGCAGCAGTACATTGCAAGTAATTATAAAACAATTACACTGGATCAATGAGATGCAGGCAGGTAAGACATGTCTCAGTTTTGAATGGCTAAAACAACCGAGAAATTTGTCTTTACAGCAGAATTTTGTACAATGTGTTTTGGTAGAAACAGTAAAGCCAGTCAATCATTTGGGAGTGCTTGAACACTTGGAACCTTAGTTTCAACATTTTCACAGATTTATATATTTGAGGAAAAACAACAACAATGATAAAAAGACACCAACCTGAGAAAAACTCTATTAGAATAGAGTGAGCATTATTCAGTAAATCATATATTGCACCTTTAAATAAATCATTATAAATTGTATAAAAACAGAAATATCAGCCAGGAACAGGGAGGAGCTATTCTGTCCTTCATACACACCCACACACACCCCCTTGCACACACATTCACAGATTCACTTTCTCTGGTTTTTTTCTACAGTTAAAGCTCGGAGTGACAGACCACACTCCTTTTCCTCTGGCAGAGGCACCAAAACATTAAGGCAGGGGATATTTGTGGTGAAATGCAAAAACAAAGCTCACCTCCAAACTTCTGGAGGGTCCTGCCAACAGTGCAACTACAGTTAAGTTTGACATAAGCCTTATTTAAAAATCTGTGTTCTCATTAAGAGTTTCATACAAAAATAGAATCTCTGCTGTTTTCTTTTTTTTCTAGAGTAGCAACTAGAAAAGGCACAATTTCCAAGTATAAATGTCCATTTGAAGGAGTCGTTTGTACTCCTTTTTTAAATAAAAAGGAACACAGAAAAAATAGATCACAGAGGCACATATCTATTAACTAAGTAACCAGATACAGTAGATAAAATATGTTCCTGAAACTTATAATTAAATATATTAAAACAGCTCACAAGCCTGGTGTCTGTAAATGAAATCATACAAAATTGTAATAAAAAGCTTGTGTTATTATTTTAATATTTAAATTCTAGTTCACTGTTCATACTGCAAATGCTATTTCACCTATCAGTACTGTTAAATTCCTAAGAAAAAAAAGCAAGATTCCTCTGTTAACTTCAAATAGTTTTGCTTGTGTTGTGTTGGTTTTTTCTTCTTAACATCAACCTGTAGCTCCTGCCAGCATTGTGTTTTCCCTCCTGTAGATCACTTCTTTGAATGCAGACAGAACTGCAGAAGCCAGACACGAGACACTGCACACAATCCCAGAAAACATGAGTAGAACACCTCCCTTTCCTATGGGCAGGTACCATCTCCTGGAGAAACTGCATTCCTGCTGGACTATGCGTGGTAGCCATTGGCCTTCCCAAAGCCTGGCCCAGGTGTGAAATTTTCATAGATTGCCATTGCTGTCATGTTTTGGTAAATAAGATCAGTTTTCTTCTCCCTCTGGGATCTAATAATATCCATAACACACTGGTTTAGGAAGACGTACTGGTCCTGACAGGAGAAAAAGAGAAGGTAATGCATTTCTAGAAAACGTCTGATTTTCAAATTAATTCTGCTTCTGAATGTAGGTTTTGGCACTGCACTGAATGTTATCACAGAGTATGTTTTAGAACTTGTGTGCGTAGTTCATAGAAAATAGAGCTGGAAGGGATGTCATGATGTCATCTGACCAACACCCCCATATAAAACTAGGATCAAGTTTACTGTCAGGCCTAATGCCCTCCTAAAAGACTTTCACAATGGAGATTTTACAGCCTTTTTCAAATCAGCTTGAGTTAATCCACACACCTTTTTGGATCAAAGAGATAATTTCAGCAGGAACACTTGTATTCCTGCAGAACACAAAAGAAGAGATGCACATCGAGACCACCTGACTCAAGATAATTCTGGCTCACAGCTAAAGGATAAAACCCACATGGGTAAGACAAGCTGCACAAAAGTCTGCTTTCGGATTTGGCTCTTTCCAGCTGCAAATGCCAGTCCTACAAACTACTCTTGCTTGGATGTACGGTGGCCCCTGGCTGCAACTACTTCTGTGGGAAGAGATGGAGCAGGAAGGAGGGAAGTTAAATAAAGAACAATTTTAACTCCTTAATATCTTATTTTCCTGTAGTTCTGAGCTACACCCCGAGTCCATGCTTCCTGAATTATTATGCACACTCGAAAAACGTGCTGCTGGGTCCAAGAGAGCCTCACCTCAGTTTGCACCATTAAAGGCCGGTGCATGCGGAGGTCGTACACCACTCCGTACACATCCACAGTGTTCTCCATCTCCATCTGCTGGATCAGGCGGTCAATGGCGATGAACGTCCCCGTCCTCCCGACACCAGCACTGCAACGACACGGGGAGGCCATTTACTGCTTTCTACCAACCACCTGCTCCCTGCTGGTCTGATGAAAAGCCAGTGAAACCGGTAGGATGCCTCCTATTATTTCAGTGGCACAGGTAATAAAAGTCTTGGCAGCCCAGAGGGGTGGCTCTTACCACCAACAAGAGGAAGGAGGGATATGCTTCTGGGCTTCTCAGCCTTGCACTAGCACAAGATTATATTGAAAAGCACTTGAAAGGACAACTTTTTCAGCTAAGTTTTCCAGGCTAGGAGAGATTCTAATGAAATTTTGTATCACTTACCTTGCTACGTACATATTGCTAGTTTCTGAAGCACAAGGCAAAGGTTTTAATTCCGCCCATGTCTTTCAGCAAAGAAACTTATTTTGTTTTTAATCCCATTGAAAAAAAAAGAATTGATCATAAAAAACCCACAAGATAAAAGCATGTCTAACAGAAACACATTCTTCCTACCTGCAGTGCACCAGAGTAGGAGAGTCAACTGGATTTTGACTGTTGTACTGATGAACGAGGTGTCTGAAGTCGATGAGAAGGTCTGTCGTCTCTGGCACTCCGTGATCCGGCCAGGAGGTGAAATGGAACTGCCGCACCGTGTGGCTCTCTGGTGTGTTGGACTACAGGAATATACATTAAAAAACAAACCAAACCAAACCAACAACAAACTCACAAGACAATGAAAACTGGCTTCAGAGGAGCAACAGTAGGGGCTTCCTGCCATATACACTGGGCCAAGCTCAGCTTCAATAAAGATGCCTGTTACAAAATGTGCAGGGATTTGGATCAATGATATTCCAGTTTCCCTCTTCCTTGCACTACGGTAGGGAATACTTTGAAATAATTTTCTTTTCCTTTAACTTTACTCTGAGCTCGTATCTGCTGCATTGTATTTGCTGATGTGGCTAATTGTTCAGTCCAGCAGATATTAAAAGTATCTGCATACGCACAAGGTTATTTTATATACTAACAACTAACAACCAAGGCAGTACTTACCTTTTCTACAGTGAAGTCCCTTATTGTCCATTCTGGAAGGACGATTTCTGAGACCATTGTCACCATAATGTCACCGTAGGTCTTGGACTGCTTGTCTGGCCAGTACTGCTCACATTTGGTCTAAGAACAGAGTTACAAAGTTAGACACATTACACACGGCAACAAAGCAACTGACTCTTAGTTTTAAATAACACACCACCTGAAGCAGGGCTAGAAAGCATGTCACCCTTCTCAAGGGCTATTCCAGGGCAAAAGAAGCTCTGCCAAAGTCATTCTTTAGAGAGAAGAACCCACCCTTAAAGATAGCAATTCCACAACTCTCCTGAGGCAATCTATTCCAATAGTCAGCAAATATGAAAATGGGAAAAAGCTTAAAAGAAAAGTTGTGCCTATTTAGAAGATAGTCCTCCACCAAGAGGATGGTCGTTAAAAGAAAGCAGTCAGTCTCCAAACTGCTACAAAATTAGAAGGGATCCAGCTGCCTTCAAGAGACAGTTCAGTTTTGATAAAAACATACCCGAGCTTGTTCCATACATTTTGTCAACATAACAATAGAGTAGATATTCTTTTCCCAAATCATTTGCCAGAAGTCATCTATAGTATTGGGTAATGGACCCTGTGCAGCAATAAATGCCTTCTTTGAGTTATAGCCCTAAGAAGAAAAAACCAAAATCAATATATATACACACACAAACGGGCATCAGTGAGACATAAAAACTGATTTTAAACATCATTAAGAGCTGTTAAGCCTACATCAGAAAAACACACATTATATTTCATTTCAGCTAACGAAGCAACTTACAGGTATATAGTTTGCATTAATATAATCACCAGTTCCAGAGCTTTCATTTGAAAGTTTAACACGAGAAATATCATCTGCAGACAGAAAAAATGAGAAGACCATTATGAATTTTAGAACTGGAACCTTTCACCAAAATACTGTTTATCTAATGCATGGTTTCTAAATAAGAGGTGTTTTGGAACAATGTGCGTTTTAAGAATAAGAATAGAACTTCAGGAATCATAACTAGTAGTATTTATATAATGAAAGCCTTCAGAAAAATGAGTGGCCAGGATAAACACTCAGAACAACACTGTTTATTTTATTTTTAAACATGGTACGGTTTTGCCTATTTATATATTTCTAACCCAACAAAAAATTTACTACAGTTTTAATTACCGGATTAAAAAAAAAGTAATTTGTCTCCTGCTGCCATTGCAGCTGATGTTTTTCCTCCAAAGCATCCATAAGTACCCATCACTGTTCACCTTTCAATTCCTTTTTACACTCTGCTACCTTGGGATGCCCACAGGTAGCTTGGCAGTGCTTAAGACTCTCCGTTCATCTGCAAAGCTGGTCTTTTATTTCTTATAGCTCTGCATATACATCTGTCTGTGGTCAACTGTTATCCTTTTTTGTTTTCAACCCGGACTGCAAGTTTCTCACAAATGGAAAGTGAAAGTTATTTAATTAAGGGAAAGTTCTTTAAAGGAGTTTTCTTAAGAAACATCCTTGAGGGAAAACTCTTCCAGGTTTGCTTATACAGTGATTTTGGGAAAGCAGCAGCTCAAATTCAATGCTTTGGAAACCGACAACACTTGAAACCTCTGGGTAGAGCCAGATTAGCCAAATCCAAGGTTTTCACTTAAACATTCGACCAGTAGAAAACGCAAAACCAAAGAGAGTAACTCACATGGTAAGACATTGTTGTATCTATTTTTTCCCCTGTTCTCAGGTAGTTCAGCAGCAAATTTGGGCTGATGAACACCAGCAGACTTGAGTTCCTACAGTAAAAGAAGGATTCATGAGCACCTGGTCTGGGTTTCAGAATCACACAAACACATGACAAACAGATAAAAATACTCCAAACCCTCATGGTCTGTGCTGTAAAAGCAGGCATGTGAAACTGGGATAAATGACAATAAAAATCATCTTATTACAGGGTGGGAGGGTGACAGTGGCAAACCTGATGGAGAAGGGATTAATACAGAATGTAGGAACTGTAGTGTGTTTAAAAACCAGAGATGGGCTTTAAAAGCCTGTTGTGCTAAAACACAACACTGATATCAATGGCACACTAGTTCTGGCCCCAAGGCACTGAACTACTTTGCATAAGCTTTACAGACATCACAGGGAGAAAGGGAGCACATACATAATGAACACACTGAAGGAAGGCAAGGTGGAGCACCAGCCTGTTAAGTACAATCCCAGAAAGAATTTGAAGAATAAAGTCAATTAAAAACTTCGAGGAGATGAGAAAAAAAACCTAATTCTTTAACAGCAGACATGACAACACAGAATCCTTCCTGACACTTCCTTTCTGTCCTTTGTACCTTGGAACAATTGAGCTTTAGCACATTTCACAGAAAAATATTTACGGTCAGTAAGCAAATCATAATTGCTTTTTCTCAGACTGCTCCTCTGAGCTATTCACAGGTGTGGTTTGCAAATCACACCTACACACTGAAGAAGTCAGTGAAATTAGCAAGAGACCTGTCTTGCTGTGTATTAAAAAACCCTCCAAGATGAGAAAAAAGAAGTGTAAAAGTTAAAAATAGCATCCCCCAGGCTAACTCTGCAGTGTTGACTAGGGCAAGGACTCAGGAGGTCCTGTCTCTGGTGACAGCTCTGACCAGCAGGCCATGCTGTAAGCTCACAGGTAGTGGTAGTAATTCAGGACATGAAGTATTTATCATGCACTTCAACTAAATTTGGAGCTGCATAGGGGAAGGGAAGGCTATACATACGGCTTAACAGTCTCTATAATAAAGGATCCTTCTCTTTCCCTTCAGTAAGCCTTGTGTATGCTCCATAGGAAAGCTGATTTGACTTGCCAAAAATATTTGTCATGAAGCTCTCTCCACTGAGGACACATACCTCATACTCTTCTGCAAAACCACAGTTGGAGTCAGCTTGCTGCTTCTTAAAGTAGGACTCAAAGTTCTCCACTTTAATCATTTTTGATCTAAAATGAGAAAAGCCATCTATTAGCAACTGGTATTAGGTCAAGAAACCATGGATTAATTCAGTCAATGTGTTAGAAAGTGTTCTTTACTTACTTCTTGACCCTTCAGGGGAGGGAGGGGGGAAGAAAAAAAGGCTGATTAGACACATGCAGTTGTATTTTTCACTATGTGAATCTAAGAATGAAAGCATGACTGTTAGTTGCAGCCACAAAACTGTGCATTTACAGGGGACAGGGTATCAAGCATAGCACATAACTGCTCTGTTAAACCAAGGAGAGAATAGTACATCCTTCAGGAGAGGAACACTGCAGAAGGTGTCAGTCAGCCACCTACTCCCATTGGATGGGCCCTATTCTCTGGTGTATTTTATGTCAACTATCAAAGTCTACACAGGTGGGATTTCATGGGATGCTCTGGCCATGCCTTTCCATCAGCACAAAAATGGGGGCAAGAACCAACAATGTTGTTCAATTGCACTGCCTGTGACTTTCAATTTATTATGGTTACTCCCCCATGGCCAGCTTTTACAATCACAACATTATCTGAACTAAGGGCTCAGCACACAGTAGTCACAAACAACAGAAAAAATTCAGGTTACAGTGCTCATTTTGCCTACATGCACTTTATCAACAATTTGGTTTGTTCCCTCAATGTGCACGAAACATCAAACATCCTGTTTTTCAAAACCATGTGGAGCAGTTGTGTATCTAATGCTGATTCATGAAGTGAACACAAATCTCTGCAGTGGCTCTAGAAGTCTTGATCAATATGATTATTTTTAGTCTGGAGGCTGAGGTCTTTAAATTCCATGAGGAATTAATACTTCAAAATTCTATATAAAACTGCACAGAAAACAAGTATCTGGGTTCAGAGTAATTATTGCAAATATCACATGATCTCAAAAAACAACATGTGAAAGGATATGGACTTACTTAATTGGAGAAAAGGACACTTCAGTATTTCTTTTATCTTTCCTGTAAGGTGAAAGAAAACAACACATAGGTTCACAGTAGAATTTAATGGAATGCATATGAGATTTCTGATGACAGCTATCTCCTGTGCCTGCTGAGAACAATTTCTTTTAAAGCATCTCATTCTGTGAAAAAAAAAAAACAAATTCCTGAGGCAAACCTTACATCTGGAATAAAAATAAAATACTTCATCCTTTATTGGGTGATGTTGTTCTTTCTGTTGCAATCAGAGTATAAAGCCTGAACATAAAGCACATATTTTGCTGGAATAAGTACATCTGAGGGATCTGCACTGCTAGGTAACATCTCAGGAGAACTGCTACTAATACCAGAATCCCTACAGTAAGTCTTCAACAGTGATGTGTCAGTCATACTGAAAGTGGTTGTTGAATGAAAATAAATGTTCTCATTATTGTACACAGTTATTGGACACAATTTGGAAAACAACAGCAGTTAATCAAACAAACTAAGAAAGCTGGACTAAAGGCCTTACAGTTAACTCTTTAGAAAGGAGGCACTACATGATCAGCAGCAGAAAAAGCCTTTGTGGACTCTTACATCCCAGATTATTTGGAAAACACTGGAAACTGAGAGATCAGCTCAAACCTTAGGCAACCCATCAGCTTCTGGAAATTCCAAAATGGAAGTTTCATGTGACAGGAAGGTAAAAAGGATATTAATGGAAAACTTAAAATCAAACCATATAAGATACAATTACATATGCCTTTTAGCACAATAATTTGTGATGTTTGCTCATTTCTAAGTGAATGACTTCATCAGCATGCCTGAATGGTGAGGCACTAGAACAGGTTGCCCAGAGAAGTTGTGGATGCCCCAACCCTGTCAGTGTTCAATGCCAGGTTGGACAGGGATTTGAGTAACCTGGCCTGGTGGAAGCTGTCCTGCCCATGGCAGGGGGACTGGACATGATCTTTAAGGTCCTTTCCAACCCAAGCCATTCTATGATTCTATTCTATCAATTAAGATTTATTTAGCTCTTCTGAATTTATTAATTTGTAACTATGGGGTTAAACAAAGTGATTTAACAACTGGTTTGATACTTCAATTCTAATCTCTAACATACAAATAACATTTTTAATATAATGTATTTTAAAGCATCATTACAGAGGTGTATAAAACAGAGAAAGATACAGAAGTGAAATACTGGTGCTCCTCAACACAACCACTACAATTATAAATATACATTACCTTCTCCTTCTCCAGAATATGAAACCCCCTATAGCGACTACAGCAAATATGGCCAAAAGGCATCCAATAACCACTCCAGCAATAATGCCTGATAAAAGAGAACAAGTATTACTCATTACTGATCTACTTCTTCAGTAATGATCTAATTCAATCAACATACTACAGCAGAACCTTACAGGTGACAGAGCATGCTCTACTCTACTAAATATCTCGCCTTTACTGTGTCCTTTGGCAGCACCAGTACTGAAACCTCAGTAAGAATAATAAAAAGAAGATGATAAATTAATAAGAAATTGGGATCGAGGGACCAGTATCTGTATTCCAATACACCTGCTTCTAGTTTACCAGAACTGTTGGAACATCAGTTTCTTTTTGCTCCTTGTTGCTATACCAAAGTCTCACTGTGCCATCCAATCCCTTTTAGCATGCCACGAGCAGCACAGTTTTTGGCTACTCCTCCAGTGGAAGTCATACGTGTTAAAAAGGGATCACCTGCAGAACTAGTAAGGTATGACTTTACAGAGTAGTGTCACTGCAAAGCTGGAAACATTTCACACAGAGAAACCAATGGGTGTTTTGATATTATGAAACTTGCCATAATTAAGGAATCTCCACACGCTGTGTATGTGCCAAACCGCCAGTCCTATATTTGACATTAACTATACCTGGATCCTGGGGTAGTAAAACCGGTTCAGAACAGGGTGAAAATGACACATAACTGTCTTCCCCCTCAATCACGTTGGCCATAAAGGTTATATTAGTGAAACCTGCAACACATGCCCTGTTGAAAAGGGAGAAGGAAAAAAAACCAAAAAAAACCAGGTACATTATAGGTTCATTTAACAGTCTTCAGCAAGATCTGTAATCTTTCCATTAGATGATCTTTTAGATTTCCATTGCAGAAAACTTAACAAAACTGATTTGAAATAAATACCTGTATGAAAGAAGTGGAATCAATGGTCCGTTTTCGTAGCCATACATTGTATTTCCCTTGCCTACATTAACGATGTTTTTACCATTCTGAGAATGGAAAGAAGGTGATTCTGCCTGCTCTGTTTCTATGACATACGTAACATAGGTAGTTGTCTTCTTCTTCTTGAAATCTCTGTATGTGTTGTTCAATTTAGACTTCAAAGACTCATAACCTTCAGGAAAAAACAAGGATATATGTGGTATATACATCATCCACTGGTTTTATATCAGTTGGCACAATGGTTGAGATGATCGCATTAACCGCAGTTGACATTACTCCATAAGTATTGCCTGAAATGAAAGGCTAAGTGCAACAGATAATCTCAGAAATCTCTTCTACTGCAGTGCAATCTACTGCACTACCTCCCTATTTCCCTGTGTTACTTGTTTCAATCTGCTTTTGGTTTTACTTCTGCTCCACAGAGCAGAGCTTCTGTGTAAAGGTACATTAGTGGTGGAACGTGGTGCCCCATGGACAAGCTTCACTAGCCAAGTAAGCTATATCAATACATGTTCTATCAACTATCATATGTAGAGACTACAGTGCAAATGGTGTAGAAAAAGTCAATCGGTATTTGGTAACACTGTGCTACCCAAACAGCATCAAGCCTCATTCAGGGTGACACTAAACTTGTCCTGACCTTGTTTCTTGTTCTATCTTACAAGAAGTCTCACGCCTAAACCCTAAGAAATGAAAGAGGTAATTTCTGCCTTTTCTTGACATAGACAAGCAGTGGACAAAATGTTGATCAGAACAGTTTCCTTCCCAGAAGACTAAAACCAGGCTACCACAGTGAGCAGCGACCAACAGGACACCGTTCACAGAACAGCACCACTTCGCAGTATCTGTTATAGAAGATGAATCTTAGAAACTTGAAGCAATCATACAGTTGAGGCACATGTAACCTAAGAGGTAATAAACAAAATCTACCAGTTATCCAACAACTCAAGAGCAAGCAAATGACACAAATATTCAGTGTTGAGGGAGAACGAAGAATCTTGCTCGTTTGACTGAAGTTTGCATACACTGCTCTCTAGTGACTGCCTTTACAAAGCTAAAAGCTCCTTCTAAAAACAGATATAGTATTGAATTCATCTTTAAAAAGGAGAAGCCTTGCGGGAGCTCTGAAAGAGGGAAAAGCTCTAAGTTTTGTAGAGTTGTGTAGAAACAAGGGTTGCTCTGACACCAGTGAGCTGGTGGCTCACTGCCACCAGCAGCAAAGCTCCCATCAACTGTAACTGTGCAGGAACGGGGTGCAAGACAACTCTTCTAAAGCACTAGCTAGACTTCATTAAAAGCAGCTGAGGGTGCAATTAACTAAGTTACCTTGAAATGTGTGTTCAATACTACCTGAGATATGTTTTATGTCCTGTTCTTGTCCGTAGTTTCAAATCCAACAGGAATCCCAGGTTATACCTGCAGCACCTTGTGGATGTCTTGGATATCATCCTAAAACAGACACTATTCCTTACCTAGACAAAGTCCCCTCTATCTATCCTAAAGGCATTGATGTCTGTTTTAGAACAGAGAAACACATCTCAAGAATATTTGTGCTAATTGAACACCATACAGCTGAAGCAATGCTTGGCTGTAAGGTTATTTTCTGCTCCTATCAAAGCACTCACTCTACATTGTAAAGGCAGACAATCTTCCTCCCTTATTTTTCTCCTTCTTGAATACCTTATAATTAAAGAAGAATGCACCAAATCTCATCATGACTAACCAGGACTGGCTGAAAATACAAGCAGAGCTGCACGCAAGAGACTGGCATTCAAACCAGCAACTCTGGGGCAGCTGAGTAGGCATGTGAAAAGTAGGTATTTTCTGCACTGATATGATATATATACATATACCTATAACAGTAGTACAGAAAATTCCTATTTATATTATATATATGTACACACACACACAAACGTTTCTTGGACATGTATTATATGGAAAAATCATAGAAAAAAGATCTATGGTCAAAATTCTGCAAGATGAATTTCCAGTGTTATAACAAAGGATAAGCATGAATGTCAAATCCTACTTGGCAGAAAATATCTTCATCAGGTGCTTTATTCCTTCACTGCACTGGCAGAAATGAAAAGTTGTTCAACTGGAAACTACGCTGCAAAGGTAAGTTCCTTAATTTAATGATTCAACACTAGACATTCACCAATTAAAGATATTTCTCAGTTTTGATGTTTTAAAGACACCAGTTTGACAGACCACTCTCTAGTTTTCTGACATTCAACCTCCCACAGCATTAATGCTGTCAATGCTATTCGAGCCTTCCACCTGCATCCCATCTCTCTCAGTTAAAAGTGTTTTAAGTAAAATCAGGAGGAAAGCTCTCTTCTTTTTAAGATCTTACTGCAGACATCTTCCAGCTGAAGAAAGGATGGGGAAAACATTCCAAGTTCCAAAGCTGCTTGTGTCAGCTGCTCTGACAATTATTTGGGGGCACGGGGGCGGGGTGGGGGGGGGGGCGAGGAGAAGAAAGGCTACTACACCATCTTGAGGAAGGGAATCACTGGTAAATCAGTTTGACAACAGCATAGGGGCAGTACATATGAGACCTATGTACGAGGATAAGTCAGGAAATAAAAGACCAACTGAAAATGGGCTTACTGAAAATAAGGAGTGATCTGACAAAGCAAACATGATTTTTGAAAGGTGATTGAAAATACTGAGTCAGCTTTTTCTCTGTCCATTTAACACCTATTTAGAGTCTAAAACAAAATGCCATCTGATAAATTGTTTCACATAGCTAATGTCATAACATCTTACCTTGTTCTGTTGTGATCATTACTGCGTAGGCTTTTAATGGACCATACAATGAATCAAAATCAGAGAATTCAACAGACAATGAGCTGTGACTGACTACCTTGACTGAAGGAGCTTCACTTGGATGAGGTGGGTCTATCAACAAAAATATTTTTTAGCATGTTAAGGACTGATAGAAATTTTCCAAACAAGAAAATTCTGTAATACTGATGCTGTTCATATAATGCATATTTATCGTGCATCACATTAGACTTTGCATTAATGTAGTGTTTTATTCATAATCTGTAGGCTGATAATGTATCATACCAACTCTGGCATTCTACAACCATGAAGTTAATATTTTTGTCCTACAAATATCTTTCATTCTCAAATCTTAATACTTACCAGTAATGCTTGTGTGACACAGTCCGTACACTGGAGAGCTTTCAGAACCATTTGAAACAGTTATGATAGTAACATTATAGGTGGTGAAATAATCTAAAGATTTTGTTTTGAAGGTTTCCTCTGAGCCTTCTCCCATGCAGGGTGGAGCATCTTCTTCATTTTTCCCTGAATTACTTATATTAGATATTATAATTTTGAAGCCAGAGCTGTTACCAGAAGGACATTTCCATTTCAGCATTAGGAAAGGCTGCTTGGCCACTGGTTCACACCAAAATGAATTCACTGAGGCAGGTTCTGCCAAAGAAAAAAGAATAACAAAAAAGAGGAGTAATAAATCTAGTGTTGTCCTTAATAGAAAAAGCTGACTATTTGTATGTTATGTGTATAAGTGTTTGTAAAATTTCAGTTTTCCTTTTCACTTTTAAAAAGTGCCTACACAAGGACTTGTTACCCCATGAGAAAGACAAGTATTTAACACACTAAGTACACAGGCCCATTCTGTGCTCTGTAACTCCTCTACAGACAGGGTTACTGGGAAAACTTGGGCTGAGTATCTGTCAAGATCAGCAACGTTTTCAAAATGATGTTCAACTCTTTAATATACTACACAAAGAACATTCTTAGAGTAGTATGTAGACTGACACTAACTCCCTGTACAACTACATAAAACTCTTAGTGGCCAACAAACAAGAAAACGAATATAAGCTCTGTGCATTAAGAGCATAGCAGGAGCCATCCTTAGAAACAGCAACTACAACATGTCAGTTTGGGTGAGAGTCTTCTAGGACACAATATAAAAACTGCAACCTTATGACCAGATACAAAAAGATATTTAAAAAGTTAATGTAGCAGTAACACTGAGAAGAAAGGTCTCTGTAAACTGAGAGAGGCACAACCATGCTTTGATGTTTCAGACAGACTGAGATAATGAGTTGCCAAGCAGCACTTACAGAGTACCAGCAACTCTCTTAAGTTCATCCCAGAGCCCCTTTGGAAAACCCACTGGGGAGCTCTGGGACACCTCAAAGTGGGACAAAAAAAAGGAAAGGACAAAGTAGCATCTAATCACAAGGGGAATAATAGTCCCAGTGCCTCACATGAGGAACGCAGGCGTAACTCAACCTTCTCCTGCCTGCAGATGAGCTGCACAAAGCAGCGTGGCTGACAGGCACCCAGCACAATGCTGCCCACAGCCCAGCTGCAGCCATGGGCCCCTCCAGAGGCAGAAGTTCCCCAGGCACAATGCACACTCTGTGTGCATCACTCATGCCTCAGGATCTGAGGGCCTCATCCATAGGGAAGAGAGGGCACCAAAACTCCCTACAAACACCAAACACCAAAACCCCCCTTCCACACATTAACATTGCTGACTCTAGGTAGGCTGTGTGCAGCACTTCTGCCTAACCATGTTGTATTTCAACTCTTGGGCAGGTGGGTAGAGCCCTGTGCCCCACAGCAAAACACAGACCACCAGGAACAGGGCTGCAAGAAACTGTGACTTACTTGTATACAGGTCTATGGACCTTCCTTCTCCTTCCGTCTCATTATCAGCCACTACTGCAAATACAGTGAAGCTGTACATTGTCCCAGGAATTAAATCAGTAATTTCTGCTTTGTGGTCAGTGGATGTCACGTTCCTAACAGTCATATCTTCTGTAACCTCTATCCTGTACGTGTAGGAGTGGGAAGCAGCGTCATTCACCTCCCATGTTAAGTTGACAGAAGTCACACCAACATACTCTGCCTTGAGATCAAGAACTGGGCTGGGCTCTGTGAAAGGCAAGACAACAATCTGTCAGCCTGAAAGAACAGCTGCTCATAGGCACGGACAGAAGAAACACAGGCACATCAGTACTTCATTCCCTTCCCACCACTCATGGTTCAGACCGCAGGAGGAGCCCAACAACATCGCCCGGCACTGCGGGAGCCTGCTGCACCAGTGGGCAGCTAAGAGAGAACTGCTGGAAAGTAATCTCGAGTGGCATTCATCTCCCTGGCACTCCAAAGCAGGAGCACAGGTCACCACAATGCCAGCACTCACAGGATTTTCCTTGGGAATTCAGAGATATGGTCAGGAAAGACACAAAGTTGCAGGGGGATTGGTGAAAGGAGATAGTGGTGTATCTGTCCACCTCATAAGGTAGGAATTTCAAACATCACTGAAAGAGGAACAGAGGTGATGGAAGGTGGCAAAGAAGCAGCTTACCTGGGTCATGCCACGAGTGCACTCCTGAGTTAGTGTTGCCTAAAGTTCACTCTCCTGACCCAGCCCAATGGCAGCCACAGGCCCACAAAAGTTCCCCGGGCACAACACATTGTCTCTGTGCGGAAGCCCTTTAAAAGAATGTTCTGAGGCCCTGATCCTCCACGAAGTGAAGGCATCAAAAGTACCCATGCAAATCCCAGGACAGGAAGGAAGTTCATGGGAAGAGTTCGTTGTGTCACAGGCCTTAATGACCAACTTTAACAACTACCATTTCTGAGGTGTTTGTTTCACTTTGTTTTTTAAAAGAAGGCTATATCTCTTCCACACAAACATCTCTCACTGCAAGCAGGCAAAGCACAGCACCTCTGTCTGCAGCAGTATTACATCTTGACCCTCAGGCAGGTGGAAAGAGCCCTGTGCCCCACAGCAAAATACAGACAACTAAGAGGGCTGCAAGAAACTGTGACTTACTTGTATAGATGGGTATGGACCTTCCTTCTCCTTCCGTCTCATTATCAGCCGCTACTGCAAATACAGTGAAGCTGTACATTGTCCCAGGAATTAAATCAGTAATTTCTGCTTTGTGGTCAGTGGATGTCACGTTCCTAGCAGTCATATCTTCTGTAACCTCTATCCTGTACGTGTAGGAGTTGGAAGCAGTGTCATTCACCTCCCATGTTAAGTTGACAGAAGTCACACCAACATACTCTGCCTTGAGATCAAGAACTGGGCTGGGCTCTGTGAAAGGCAAGACAACAATCTGTCAGCCTGCAAGAACAGCTGCTCGAAGGCACAGACAGAAGAAACACAGGCACATCAGTACTTCATTCCCTTCCCACCACTCATGGTTCTAAACACAGGAGCAGCCCAACAACATCTCCAGACACTCCTAGAGGCTTTTGCATCAATAGCTGAGTAACAGGAAAATGAGACAGAGCCATCTCAAGCATGATTCACCTTCCTTTCACAGGCAAAGGCACGAGCAGCACAGGCAATCACTGTGACAGAACTCCCATGGCTTTCCCTGGCAATCCAGAGAGGTAGGCAGGAAGGCGAGAAGAGTGGAGGGGAAAGACAGTGGAGGTGCAACTCCACACAGCAAAAACAAGGAAGATGAAATAGTACAAGAAGAGGAACAGAGGTGATGACCCTGACTCCCTTCTTCTCCAATCCTCACGCCCTGCACTTCACTCTCATAGCAGAGAGAACATCTCCAAAACCCCTCTTCCAGCACCCTATTCTCTGCACATCTTCAATAGAGGGTAACTAGCCCTTACAGACAGACCAGCACAGGTGAAACTTTTGTGTATTGACTGCATGGATATTTCAGAAAAACACAAACGACAACAGTCATCTGTTTTCTTTCAAATGCACTCTGAGGAATGACCAGGCTGGGCTACTACCTTGGAGGCCAGCTCCAAAATGGTTCCTCAAACACCATACATCAAGACTTTTGATACTTAACATGGCAAGGGGCTGGATGGCAAAAGGAGTTCTCCTGAACTAGCACTGCCTGAATCTCACTCTCCCGGCTGCAGCCCGATCGCAGCTACAGCCCCCAAATCACTCAAGCTCCCTTGGCACAATATTCTGTGTGTGGGAGCCCTTAAAAGGAAAATCTGAGGCCCCTATCCTCTAGGAAATGAATGCAAAGGCCCCTTTCCCAAATTTGGAAGAGATTAGTTATCAGGGAAATGTCTCTCTTCATTGACAGCCTAGGGGCAAAATTCACCAACAGCTTTCCATCAGGGCAACGCTACTTCTACACTTCAACACCTCATGCTTGGAAGATTGGCCATATCCAGCTCCAGGACCAAATCATCACCTCTGCCTGCAGCTGTATTAAATTACAACTCTCAGGCAGGTGGGCAGAGCCCTGTACCCCACAGCAAAATACAGACCACCAGGAACAAGGATGCAAGAAACTGGGACTTACTTGTATAAAGGCCTATGGACCTTCCTTCTCCTTCCGTCTCATTATCAGCCACTACTGCAAATACAGTGAAGCTGTACATTGTCCCAGGAATTAAATCAGTAATTTCTGCTTTGTGGTCAGTGGATGTCACGTTCCTAACAGTCATATCTTCTGCAACCTCTATCCTGTACGTGTAGGAGTGGGAAGCAGTGTCATTCACCTCCCATGTTAAGTTGACAGAAGTCACACCAACATACTCTGCCTTGAGATCAAGAACTGGACTGGGCTCTGTGAAAGGCAAGACAACAGTGTATTAAGACAGAAAAAAAGGAAGAAGAACCACAGCCACATTTCCCTATTCCACATAGAATGAGCATCATTTGTAGCCAAGCAGCACTTCTACAGTACCAACGTCCAGTTTCAGACACTCATGCTGAGCCATCTCTGGAGAAGCCACAGGAGTTCTGGGGGATTTTCTCTTTCAATTCATATGCCAGAATTATTTGTTTCACAGTGTGTTTGCAGACAGAGAAACAGATGGAAATCAGTGAAGGAAGAAGAGTGCAAGCTGATCTTGGTCTGTTAACTCAAAATTAAATAAGTCTTAATCTGAGACCTTCGGCCCAAACTCTCCCCAACATCAGCATAAAGAAATGGGTTGCTTGAGCAGGTGCAACAGTTGACACATTTTGGGAGACTGTGTCTGCAAGCCTGACTCAGCATCAACTCCAGGCAGACAACACTCACCTCAGGCAGCTTAGAAAAGTTTATCTACTCAGTAGCAGCTCCAGGACACACTGCTTCAAATTGCTTTGTAGGGACACTGCCTGTTCCCTTCGTGTCTCTGAGCTACACACAAAAGAAACATTTTTCCATCCCTCTGGTCTGGGAAAAAACCAGCAAGATTGGCACCACACTCAAGAATGTGATCATAAGCAATGGGACAGTCACAGCCCTCAGGAACCTCAGGCCATAGACTTTGCAAAGAGCTCAAAACAATCTTCAAGAACAAAAAGCCTCTGTGACTCTGGCCACCACATCCCTGCATACCACATCTTTTGGTAAAGCTATGATAACCTGCTCCCAGAAGCATTTTAAGGGGTCTATTTGGTCGTCAAGCATCTAAAAGAAGTCACACTGTTGTAGCAGCTGGATCTCTACATAGTCTTGAGCAGCAATGCTGGTGAAACAGCTGATTTACAGGCAACACAAGCAAGCACAGACAATCTCAGGTCTTTCCCCTTTAACCAAAGACCACTTGGCATTCACACACACAGGCACCTGGAGCAAAACAATGTCCCAACCAAGAAATAAAACGAAGATGCAAACACAAGAAAGCAGAGCAATTCGGTACAAATGCCATGTTTACTTGCAACCGAGAGGCACCATTTCCTTACTTGTATACAGGTCTATGGATCTTCCTTCTCCTTCCGTCTCATTATCAGCCACTACTGCAAATACAGTGAAGCTGTACATTGTCCCAGGAATTAAATCAGTAATTTCTGCTTTGCGGTCAGTGGATGTCACGTTCCTAACAGTCATATCTTCTGTAACCTCTATCCTGTACGTGTAGGAGTGGGAAGCAGCGTCATTCACCTCCCATGTTAAGTTGACAGAAGTCACACCAACATACTCTGCCTTGAGATCAAGAACTGGACTGGGCTCTGTGAAAGGCAAGACAACAATCTGTCAGCCTGCAAGAACAGCTGCTCACCAGTACTTTACTCCCTTCCCACCACTCATGGTTCAAAGTGCAGGAGGAGCCCAGCAGTATCACCAGACATTCCTGGAGGCTGCTGCACCAGTAGGCAGCTAAGAGAGAACCGAAGACAAGTCATTCTGAGAGGCATTCATGTCCCTTTGACATTCCAAAGCAGAAGCACAGGTCACCACTGAGCCTCAGTTCCCAGGGCTTCCCTTGAGAATCCAAAAGATGAACAGGAATGGCATGTGTATGGTTGGCAATACAGGGGATTTTGTTCTAGTTGGTTGGTTTTTGGTTCAGTTGTTGTTGTGGCAGATTTTTTGTTTCAGGGTGGGTGCATTAGAGGAATTTTGGCGTTTAAATAAAGAAACAAATAAATAAATAAATAAATCAGGATTATGTTTCCTCTACACATTAACCTTTCTTCTTAGTATTCAACCCAGGTAAGATTTGTATTAACTTTTGACCCTCAGGCAGGTGGAAAGAGCCACGTGTCCCACAGCAAAATACAGATAACTAAGAAGAGGGCTGCAAGAAGCAGTGACTTACTTGTATACAGGTCTATGGACCTTCCTTCTCCTTCCGTCTCATTATCAGCCACTACTGCAAATACAGTGAAGCTGTACATTGTCCCAGGAATTAAATCAGTAATTTCTGCTTTGTGGTCAGTGGATGTCACGTTCCTAACAGTCATATCTTCTGTAACCTCTATCCTGTACGTGTAGGAGTTGGAAGCAGTGTCATTCACCTTCCATGTCAAGTTGACAGAAGTCACACCAACATATTCTGCCTTGAGATCAAGAACTGGGCTGGGCTCTGTGAAAGGCAAGACAACAATCTGTCAGCCTGAAAGAACAGCTGCTCACAGGCACGGACAGAAGAAACACAGGCACATCAGTACTTCATTCCCTTCCCACCACTCATGGTTCAGAGTGCAGGAGCAGCCCAACAACATCGCCAGGCACTGCTGGAGCCTGCTGCACCAGTGGGCAGCTAAGAGAGAACTGAAGACAAGTCATTCTGAGTGGCATTCATTTCCCTTTGACACCCCAAAACATAAGCACAGAACTCCCAAGGCTTCCCTGGGGAATCCAGAGAAATGGATAAGAAAATAATAGAGTAGACTGGAATATTCTAGTTGGAAGGGTCCTGCAACTATCATCTAGTCCAACTGCCTGACCACTTTATGCCTCACCAAAAGGTAAAGTATATTATTAAGAGTATTGTGCAAATGTCTCAAACATAGATGGGCTTGGGGCATTGACCACCCCTCTAGGAAGCCTATTCCAGTGTTTGACAACCCTCTCAGTAAAGAAATGCTTCCTAATATCAAGCCTAAACCTCCCCTGAGGCAGCTCTGAACTATTCCCACATATCCTACCACTGGATACCAAGGAATAGAAATCAGTATCTCTCTCTCTCCACTTCCCTTCCTCAGGAAGTTGAGGAGAGCAATGAGGTCACCCCTCAGCCTAGCCCTCGGCTCCTCTCAGGACATGACTTCCAGCCCTTTCACCAGCTTTGCTGCCCTCCTCTGCAGGTATTCAAGGACCTTCACATCCTTGTGTTTGGCCCACAAAACTGCACCCAGTACACAGGGTGAGGCTGCACCAACACTGAACACAGCAGGATAATTACTTATTTTGATGGGCTGATTCTACCACATTTGATGCACCCCGGGAGGGGGTTTGCCCTCCCGGCTGCCAGGGCACACACTGCTGACTGCTACTGAGCTTCTGTCAACCAGTTTCCCCAGATCCCTTTCTGCAGAGCTGCTCTCCAGCTACCCCTCCTCCAATTTACACTTCTGTTCAGTATTACTCTGTCACAGCTGCAAAATGTGGCATTTGGTCTTGTTACATTTCCTCCCACTAATCATTGCCCAATGCTCCAATCTACCTAGATCTCTCTCCGAGGCTTCCTGTCCCTCAGGAGTCAACAGCACCTCCCAGTTTGGTATCATCAGCTAACTTACTAATGGTGCATTCAACTCCTGCATCCATGTAATTGATAAATAAATTGAACAGCTCAAGGATTGAGCCCTGAGGAATAGCACTGGTCACCAGTCAGACACGGCTCCATTCACTAGTACCTAGTGAGCTCTGCCCTTCAGCCACTTCTTCACGCAGCACACCATGAAATCCCTCATCCCACAGCTGGACAACTCGTCCAGAAGGATGCTGTGACGGGCAGTACCAAAAACCTACAGAAAAACTACATCCACTACCTTCCCTTCACCCACTGGGTGGGTGATGTTATCATAGAAAGAGATCAAATCAGTTAGATGGGACTTTGCGAACCCATGTCGACAGTACCTCATGACTGTGTTGTCCTTTAAACACCTTTTAGTAGCACCCAGTATAATCTGCTCCATAATTTTTCCAAGAACTGAGGTTTGTCTAACAGGTCTGCAGGTTCCTGGGTCTTTCCTCATACCCTTCTTGTAACTAGGAATAACACTGGCTAGTGTCCAGTCAGTAGAGACCTCCCCAGGCTCCCAAGACCCTCAGTAGTTGATGGAGAGGAGTCCTGCCATAACATCAGCTAAATCCTTCTGTACTCTGGGATGAATCCTATCAGATCCCATGGACTTGTGAACATTCAGCTGATATAAATGTTTCCTCACAGTTTCAACACCCACAAATTAAAAGCCACTGTGGTTCTCCAACTCCGGGGACCAGGCAGCCCAGTGTCTATCAGTATTACTAAAGACTGAGGCAAAACACACATGGAATGCCTCTGCTTTTTCTTCATTCCTATTAGGCAGGTGACCATCTTCAATAAGTACCAGTCCAATGTTTTCTTTAGAAATTCCTCTTGCTATAAACATGTTTTAAAAAGCCTTTCTTGTTATCTGAAACAGCACTGGGCAGCTTCAACTGTAGTTGAGTTCTGGCCCTTGGTGTCTTCTCCCCGCATATATGAACCACAGCTCTGTAATTCCGAGAAGCCTGACCTCACTTCCCAGAGCTCACAGGATTTCTTCTTCCTCTTGAGCTCCATGAGGAGTTCTCTGTTCAAAGCTTGTTCTCTGCCCCACTTGTTTGACTTCTGACACAATGAAATTGCCTGTTCATGTGCTTCTAAAAGGCTGTTCTTAAAAACTGAACAGCACTGATGAATTCCTAAGCCCTCAAAAGCAGATCCTCAGGGTAGGCTGCTAAGTAGCACCCTGAATAGCTTAAACTTTGCTCTCCTGGAGTCCAGGGTAGCAACTCTGCTGTCTCTTTTTTCTCATTACACTGAAAATTTGAAACTCGTTCGTTTAATGACCACTGTAGCCAAGTCAGCCACCTACCATCACATCTCCCATCAGTCCTTCTCTATTCACAAACAGTAAGTCCAGAAGGGCATCTTTCCAAGTTGTCTCACAGAGTACTTGTGACAAGAAGTTATATCCCACATGAAGAGATAAGAGGACATAAAGATGGAGAGGAAGGAAGGTGAATTACGGTTGCCTGGTTGTGCTTTTTAAAAGCAAGGATGTATTTTGTCCACACTTCAAGACCCCATGCTTAGTGGACATCCCAGATTAGGCTCCATGAATAAGACATCATATATATATACAAATATATATATATAAAACATCTTTATATTTTAGCCCTCAAGCAGTTAGGCAGAGCTTTGAGCTGTCCAGCAGAACAAGGCTGCAAGAAACTGTGACTTACTTGTATACAGGTCTATAGATCTTCCTTCTCCTTCTGTCTCATTATCAGCCACTACTGCAAATACAGTGAAGTTGTACATTGTCCCAGGAATTAAATCAGTAATTTCTGCTTTGTGGTCAGTGGATGTCACGTTCCTAACAGTCATATCTTCTGTAACCTCTATCCTGTACGTGTAGGAGTTGGAAGCATTGTCATTCACCTCCCATGTTAAGTTGACAGAAGTCACACCAACATACTCTGTCTTGAGATCAAGAACTGGGCTGGGTTCTGTGAAAGGCAAGACAACAATCTGTCAGCCTGAAAGAACAGCTGCTCATAGGCACGGAGAGAAGAAACACAGGCACATCAGTACTTCGTTCCCTTCCCACCACTCATGGTTCAGAGTGCAGGAGGAGCCCAACAACATCGCCAGGCACTGCTGGAGCCTGCTGCACCAGTGGGCAGCTAAGAGAGAACTGAAGACAAGTCATTCTGAGGGGCATTCATTTCCCTTTGACACCTCAAAGCAGAAGGGTAGGACATCACTGTGTCAGAACTCCCAGAGCTTCCCCTGGGAATCCAGAAAGGTGAGCAGGGAAGAGACCAGGATGGAGGGGAAGCATGATAATTTAAAACAAACAAACAAAACCATCAGGGCTATGTTTCTGCTGTACCCTAACATCCCATTCTTTGTATATTGCCCAGATATATTTTAGTCGTCCAGGACTAAAATATACATGCAACAGTATTGAATTTCAATCCTCACATAGGTAGGTAGAGCCCTGACCTGCACAGAAAAGTACAGACCACTGGAAACAGGGCTTCAAGTAACTCTGACTTACTTGTATACACCCTTAAGGGCACTCCTTCTGTCTCACTACCATCTCCTAATGCAATTACGATGAAATTGTACATTGTCCCAGGGATCAACTCGGTAATTTCTCTTTCGGTCTCACTGGTCATCAGGCTCTTCATAGAGGTATCATTTCCATACTCTATCCTGTAGGAGTTCGAAGCAGTGCTGTTCACTAACCACGTTAAGATGACAGAAGTCATACCAACATATTTTGCCTTGAGATCATAAACTGGGCTGGGCACTGTGAAACAAACAAACAAAAAAATCTGTTAACCCACAAGAGTATTTGTTGACAAACACATAAAGCACTCTTCTCCCTGCCCTACCCTGGTCTCTGTAAAACACTGATCAGCCTCGGAAAATAATCAAGCCATCCTTCCATACTGCAAGGCACACCTGGCTAGCTCTCCAAACTACTCTAATTCCTCAAATTTCTCTTCATCTCATGGAGTAGAAATATCTAGGTGCTGTAGTGATTACTGTGCTGCCTCAGCTGTGAACTTTATGCATGATGCTGAGGAAGACTAGAACACACAATCTGCTGTCATTTTTTCCTAAACTGGCTACCCCAAAGAGAGAAGCCTTTCTAGCAACAAGATTCATACACCTCTCCTCTAGATACATGACACAGCATGCTGTAACCCTGTTACTCATGCATTTCAAATCTATACGTCATAGTGAGCTTCGACTGTTGAAGCTGTAACCTAAAAAGCCATAGTAAGCAGGGAAGGGGGCCTAAGTCTAACATGAATAGAATTATTTCAAGGCCGTGAGCCAATCACAGCATGAAATTGCACTCCTAGTCAGCTGTGCAGACAGATTTCTTTGGTTCCTTCTCTATTCCAGTAAAGCAGTTCGATTCATGCCCCTGCAATGCTCTTTGCACTCTGGACTACAGTTCAGAGTGTTAAAATGCTAATACAATATAAAAATACAAAACACCCTGAAGATTCACATCCCAGCCACATTTCAAACCACGTACGTGTTACGTTGCTTCCATCACTTATTGTCCCATCGAATGGTGACACAGCCCTGATCGATCTTCCACCTCCATGTGTTTTGTTTCCACTTGCAGAGTTTACTGATAAATTATCATTACTACTGGTTCCTTGTTCTGCAGCTACATTTTTTGAGCTGCAATCCTCAGTGCCTGAAAGAAGAACACCAAACAATAAGCGTCTTTGCAAAACTTCTGGGCTTCCCGTTTGCAGAAGTAGATAGATATTGTTTTTAGAGACATCATGTACAGATCTGCAGTCATTTCCTTTCTCTCAATTCGTTCTACAAAAATTTCACTGTGCGTTTCCTGGTTTTACCTCTCAACTTCTGCGAGATTATTTGATTTATATCAAGGGACCACCACATTATTTCAATCATTCACTGACGCTACACACAGTTCGGATGAAAGCTATCACGATTTGCTCTTTTCAGTGCAGTTTTGCTTGAACGGAGTTAAAGAAACTTGCAGCCACATTCTGTGTAAGTGTGTTTTTTCTTTTGTTATCAGAAGCTTGTTTAACCTGGCATAGCAATTTTCCTTCTTCTCCTCAGCACATGAGGAAAAAAGTTCTCATAGTCCCACAGTGTGTTCCCACAAGTAAGGAACAGACGTTATGTATCTACAGCAAGAGAGTTTATATTGATGTGGCACAGCCCAAAGTGTGAAGAGAGTTGATTAAGACCCTAAAATTTAAAGCTAACTCACATAAGTCTGATGTTCAATATTAACGTAGAACTTATCTGCATATACTTTCAGAAATTTCTGCCATGTGAAAACTTGTCATCTTGGCCAGTACAGCAGTTCTAGACTCAGTTCAGAAAATTATTAAAAGCATCACTTTGGGGGCTTTTTGTTTCGGGGTTTGCTTGTTTTGCGTTGCCTTCAAGTTTATTTTCCCATCTTTCTTCTATACCTGTACTTGATTTTACCAGAACTCTTTACAAACTGAAAAGCAAACTGAAAAGTATTTATATATCTATATCTTTAAACATCCTTAAATGTATTGCAGGAATTAGAGTCACTAAAATAATTGAGTCTACATTTTTAACTACCATTTCTAAAAACTTTTTCAGGAAGTTTGGTTGTTTTTTTTAATAATTTGCTGATAATGTCTGATCTTTCTTAAAAAAAAAAATTAAGATAATGAGACTTATATAAAAAAATAAAAAGCAAGCCACAGAATTATACTTACAGTCAATTGTACATCTGACCTGGAAAACAAAAATAAATAATAGAAATTAAAACTTAAAAAATACCAGAAGTTCAAACGGAAAAAAAGGACTGGTTTAATTAACATGGGGGCGGGGGGGAGAGAAATCAATTTTAAAAAGTCTAAACTGTTCAATCTGCAAAAGAATTACCTAAAAATACCAAAAAATCTACATAAAAACAACACTAAAAAATATACCAAACTATTAGAGAAAAAAATCTAAACATGCTGGTAAAATTTATTTCCAGTTTTTCAAAAACTAGTTTATTTTGTCACACACACAAAAAAAGTTTGAATAACATAAGCTAGTTATTTTGCACATAACAATTTAAAATCCAAACCTATAATACCTTAGTCAAAAGACGCTTTAGTTAGCATCTTTGACACCATCCCACAAAAAATGACAGATGTCAATTAGGTCTTTTTCATTAATAAGACTCTTCCTTTCATCGTATTGCTGTATAAACTTCATTACTTCTCACAAAAGAGTACTTTGCTTCAGAGAATGGAAACTCAGTGTAATCAAAGTTGAAAACACTTAGTACATACCCTGAAATCTAGTTTATATATGTGCACATATCCACTCTTGCCACTCAACTGCAGTCTAAAATTACTCTGCTAGTAATACTGACCATCACACCAGAATTTGCTCCGAGGATGATTTTTAGTCTTTCAACTTCATACTTTTACTTCAGAATAGCCATTTCCCTTCCTGTTGGTGTGCAAACTGGCCCATAAATTGTCAACTTCGTGTCCCTCCAGGGGTACCACAAAATGCTCCTTAAAGGAGTGAAATAAAAGCCCCAGACTGAGGTCTGCAGGTGCTTGAGAGGAAAACTGTGATTTCCTGGGGCTCCAGTAGCCAGCTGATGCCAGCTGACTGCAGCAGCCACTTTTGTCACATAACAAACGCATTACTGCAGCAATTGTATCAAGGACTAAATACAACTTGAAAAGCTACACATGACAAGGCAAAAACAAGCATGCAGAGGTAAGCATTCCAAGCCACCAGCAGGTTCCCAGTGTGGTGCTGGAGATCCACAGGTCACAGTGCCTTGTGCCAGGGAGACCTGTAAGCATGGGAGGTTTCTGGGTCTGGTTTTGGCACAATGGTGGGGGCAGGCAGAAGGAATCTTTCATCTAAAGCACTTGAAACTCATTTTCTCTTCCACCATTTTCTTAATTCCTTAGCTGTTTGTGCAATTCCACAAGCTAACTCAAAATAAGCAGCTATACCACAACAATCTGATACAATGCTTGAATCCTAAATCATTCAGCCCCCCTCAGCTCACATGTTGCTGGTGCCACAAGTAGCTCCAGGAGCAGCAGCTCCTTGTGCCACATTCATGGGCCCAAGCAGACCCTTAAAAAGTAGTCAGAAGACACCATTAAATCTTGTTCTTCCAGTGAGAGACTACAAAAACCACTCTCTACAAAGATGAGGCAGGCCAGTTGAGCAGAAACAACACTAAAAACCACCCCTTCAGCTTTACAGTAAGGAGAAGAGCAGCAGAAGCAAACTCCAAGCAGAGAGGCACCCTTCCAGCCTGTGATGGCCTCAGTGCAGCACCAAGAAGAGTTTGGGCACAATTCCCAGGCAAAAGAGCACTTGTAGGCATCAAAGACCTGGTCTCTTCTACCACAGCCTCACAGACAACTCAGCCTGCAACAGACATGACACAGGACAGAAATGTCCTGTGTACAAGTCTGAGGCTCCTCCTCAACCTTTCTGAGTTTTTGAGAGCTCAGCCAAACTGCAAGGCTATTAGGAAGTGAGGAAACATTTGTCTGCACTTGGGTCAAGAGTCCTTTTGTAGTCTTTCACCCAAGGAAAGGCAGGAAAACACCGCCATGCAGCATTCAGAGCAGAAGTGCTAAGCTCTGTGGAAACAGCTGCTGAATGATGGAGCAAGAGGTAAGATTCCCTGAAATGCAGGGTAATCTAAAAGCAAAGCCAAAAGGGTGTTTTATTTATTAAGAAAGGGAAATTGCAAAAAGAATGAAAACAACAAGAAATGCCATAGGACTAAGCAACAGTGATTTCTGCAGCCCTACAGACACAGAAGCAAGAGCCTGACATTTTTTACCTGTCCTTTAGTTACTTTCCTTTCTGCAAAACTACCTGAAGATGAACTTTCTCACCTCCTTCTACCCAAATTTTGAATTCAGGGGCACAGCATCCTTCCTGAGCAACAGGAGCAACAGATATCACATGGCTGTGAAACAGGTATGCCACCACTAAGCCTCCTGTACCCCTCCTCCTTACCACCCCATTACTTCCCTGCCAACTCAAACAATGAGCGTGTTGATTCCTGTTTTATGGCTATCTGATCTAATGGCAAATCATGACCAGGCTGCTAGAAACTTGGTTGTACTGTCACATGTGGGTTTTGTTAAGGATGCTCAAACAACAAAAGGAAAGTTATGCTAAAATTCCTGTCACATGATGAATGAACAGCTTCCCATCATTCCACTTGCTCATCACACAGTCTCACAATACTCCTTTGACTTTCCAGAAGACTATGCACAAACCAAATTAAAAAAAAAAAAATCAAATTAAAAAAAATCACGTGACAGGCAGGCCTCCTTCTGAAACCCAAACCCACACAAAACAAGTGATCCCATTCCCAAGCGTCAGCCTGCCTGACTCAGTCATTCCATGCTGTATTTTTCAACACCAGCCATGAACCAAACTGTTCTTCAGCCTTACATGAGTATTTATAAGAACTTAATGAGAATTTATACAAAACATTTGTTTATTATTTCAGAGGATATTTGCACTGAACATCTGCTTCTCCTTGTGTTTGCATCTAATATATCATGAACCCTGCCATCTCCACTTTTCTTATTCAATGACACAAATACCTACAAATATCTAGTATTCACATGTACAGCTGGGTAATTTCTTAACTTTTGTGGAGCTTTGGGTAGGGGTGGAACATCCCTCCCCAAGAAAACACAGCAAAATGCTAAACACTGACCATTTCAACTGAAAAACAGGAGAGATGTGTATACGTCATCACTGTCAATGTGATGGTAAATGAATCTTTTCATGTGTCACACAGCAATGCTTAGTGCCTGACCAAAGGCTGCATGTTCCAGAGGAGCTGAGGAATTCACCTGCACTTGCACAAGGTGTGTCCTGGGCTCCTTATGTGTGCAGTTTATTACCGACCAGGAGCTGGTTGCCTGTAATCCGTGAAGAGTTCAGCTCCATCCTCCTCAGGTATACATTGGGTTGCCTGAGGAATTATTATTAGTCTCAAAGGTAATCTTAGGGAGAAATAGGAAGTGTTGCAGGAAAACTTCTTCAAAAATAGTGACTGAGAAGCCCAAGTCCCACTGATATTTGACAAACTACCCTCTAATGAAGTTAGGGTTCCTGCACTGGGGAAAACCCTTGTGCACAGTAGCCCACCTACCTGGGGTGCTCCAGTTTTCAAAACAAACAACGTGGTTTGGTTCATGTAAATACAAGGTTAAGAAGCTGGTTAAACAGTCAAAGTGAGCAAACCAAAAAATCCCAGCCAAAAAAAAAAAACCCCTTAACCACAAATCCTTTCCGAGAACACCACTTGAGGTTACTGCTTACTATTTCTTGTGTGCTACCAGTGTGTGCCCTGTGACTCAAGAAAAAAGCCAGGAAATTATTCACACCCCTCTCAAAGTTAATCATCTTTCAAATGCGTACCTTTAGATCTTATCTTCTCCATCCACCCATCCTCTCAAGCTTGGAGGAGTTCCACAAAAATACCACCAAGCTATCACAGGGGTCTCCAAATTGCTTCGCAAGACCCTTTCACAAAAGCAACAGCACAATGTAACAAGATCACTACCCCACGTAACCCTGATCTCACACCTGTTTTTTCCCCTTGCTATGTTCACTTACCATTAGTTGTCCCACATTCATAAATATGGGCTTCAGGACAAGCCACCACACAGCAACCATCATGATGGTTTTAAGACTCCAGGCTTGGTTTTGCTGGTGCTCAGTCACCACCTCTCAGCCAACAAACATTAGCCAGCAAAGGCATAATAACTTGGACACTTCCAGACCCCTCTGTCACCTCTGATATTTCATACTTAGCATAAGTCTTATTCAGAAAGCATTCCCACAGAAAGCTTTTATTCAAGGTCACACAAAGTAAGTGAAAATTAAACCCCGGAATGCCACTGGGAAGCTCCACAGTTACAGAAGTGGGATTGCCCAAGTATTGCATTCACCGATTGATACACTTTCCAACACTTGTTGATTTTTCTAGGATTTTTAAGGCATTGACTGCTATTTCAGCTGGGGACGTCTTCCCACTTCCCTGGGAGCGTGAAGTCTAAATCAGCAGGGAGTGACAGCTTCTTGCAGAAGACTGTTGTCATACAACAAGAAAGGATGGGGTTTGGAAGATGAAATGTTTTTATGTCTTGCAATCCATCTCCTGGCTATTTCATCTCATTAATTTCCATATTATTTCCAAATTAATTAAGGTTTGTAGGCTTACAGAACTGGGCAAGAAAAATGAGATCACCTGAACTGGGGAAAAATATGTGCTTAAACCCGTATGACCTAGTTCAACTAACAAGCCTTACTTTGGCAATTTCTGGGTTCTAGGGTGCCAGAGATACGATACTGGAAAATGAGCTAAAATACACTTGAGTAATATATTGCCCTGTTTTCTAATTTCTTTATAAAGTGTCAAAAATCTTCAATTGCAAAGCATTTCTGTGCATTTAAGCAGAAAACTTTAACCACAAATCATTATACGATTGCAAAATGCAGGGAAATTCATGCAGAATCATCAAGGTTGAAAGTGACCTTCAAGATCATCTAGTCTGACTGTCAACCCAGCACCACTATAATCACCCTTAAACCAAGTTTCACATCCAGACACCTCTTGAACACTTCCAGAGGTGGTGACTCCAAATCTCAAAGATATGCCAAGCCAAGAAAAGCAAGTGCTTTCCCCTGTACTTATTGTATGAAAAGAAAAAAAGACAAAGTGGATT